CAAAATCTTTCATTAACTTGGATAATGATAAAGTTACAACTGCCCAATTGGTAGGAATGCAGCAAAAAAAGCAGCAAAAGGAAAAGCTATCAATTCCACTTCGTAATCTGGTAATAGGCTTGATGAAATACTTGAAAAACATATAGAAGAAAATAAAAAGAGTTTCGAACACTACCAAAACTATTTAGATATGAGGTTGCACTAAAAGAAAGAAAGATGAAAATTAAAGAAGAAAAGGTAAAGAATGAAGAGATTTCAATTATTTTCATGGTTCCCAGTAACGTTTCGAAAGATGGGCGTGAAATTTGGAGAAATCGTTGTGACGAGATTTAAATAAAATACAATATGAAGTAAAATTTGTAGTTAGATATTGTACTTTTTATTTAATGTATTGTTCGTAACTTCAAATTTCTAAATTGTAATCTTTAATTAATATTTAGTAATTGTAATTTTGAATTTTTAATTAATGTAATGTTCTAGTTTTATTTATTAGTACTAGACGAATTCCCGCGCATTGCGCTGCGTAAGTTAAAAATATATTGTTAAAATGTTGAAAAATATATGTTTAAAATTGTTATGTTATTGACATTAACTTTGACATAATATTTTGAACAATATTATTCACTCACATCAACCCACCTTCATCATTAATAAAATTATATATAATTATCTATTTAATAATATTTTTAACAATTGTTATGATTGATTAATTTAAATTTTTGCTTATGCGATTATTTACTAATTTCAATAATGATGTTCATTTAAAATACAATTTATTTGTTGTTAACGTTATGTAATTTATAAATTGATGTTATTATAATTTAAAATTATTGTTCTTTAGTTTTTAAGCACTTATTATTATTAATAAGTTAAAGAAGACTTTTAAGAAACACTTAATATTACTATTAAAATGTAAAACATACACTAAATAATAAACTGATAACATAGAGAATTTGTATTTCAAAAAAGATTTGCATGGATAGTATAACATATCCATAATTTTTATAATTTGATTTTTATTAATTATAATTATTGTTCATTAGTTTTAAAACCACTTATTATTATTAATAAACGAAAAAAAACTTTTAAAAAAACACTTATTATTATAATTAAAATGTTAAACATATACTAAAATATAAAGTGATAAGATAGACAATTTGCATTTCAAATGAGACTTACATGGATACTATGGATAATATTGCATATCCATTATTTTTAATTAATTATTCCTTTGAATCAACACAAATATACAAACATATATACAATATTTAATTAAATATTATCTATATCACTTTCCATCACTATAAGAATAATCACCTATAGGGACGACATGTATCGTCGCTATAGGCTCCCTATAGGGACGACCTGTCGTCGCCATAGAGTTGACCAAATTTTATTGACTCTTGAAGCTATAGGGACGACTTCTTGTTTCAACATGTTAAGCGGGAAAATAAATTGGTTTGGCGCGTTCTTGAAACATCTGTAGGGATGACTTCTTGTCCCCATAGCTTTCTATGCCCAAAAAATATATATATTTTAATATATTTAGTTGGAAAATAAAAAAACGATGTCGTTTGTTTATGGTTATAGTCACGATAGGTCGTCCCCATAGGTTATGATCTGAGAATCCTTTTCCCCTTGGTCGTCTCCGGTCTCAGATCTTCTCTGTAGCTCATCGATTAGTTTGTCTCAGGATCCGTCTCCCCCCTTCACCACCGGTGTTTAACCTAACCCTTAACACCAGTTCATTAACGCCTCTATCTCTATTTCTTGTTCGTTTAAGGCTTTCAGAAATCAAGCAAATCTCCATTTTTCTGTACAGGTTCGTTGAAGCTCATGCGCATCTCCATATTTCTATGGTTTTTGTGCCTTCGTCTCCATCCCTAACTCGTGATTTTCTATGATTTCATAGTTGCTCTCTCAGGATGCGATTTTCCTACATCGATTAACAAATCTCCATCACCATTTGTCGTTCCCCAGCTTATCTTCTGTGATTAAAAGGTATTTTGTTTTCAGAATTAATAATCTGCTACCCTTGCTAATCCTGTACTTCAATTGTTGAAATCTTTTGTTTTACTCAAATCTAGTTGAGAATTCCATATGTTTGCTTAAGAAAATCCATTATTTTCATCCAATTTTGGTATTTTAAGCTGCCTTGTTACGTTTTTAGGTGTATAGAGATGCATAAACCCAATCAAGAATCAGAATCTTTTTTGCTAATGTGGCAACATGAGTTTTCATGATGTGGATTTATATGCTACCAATGGTAATGGTGAGTTTTTCAGAAAAACGATTTAGTGATATTTGTATCCATTTGTGTAGGAAGATCTTGAATTGATGAAGTATTATCATTGGGATTCAAAATGACACAGTTAGCCTTTGCTTTTCTCCTTTTTCTCTTTCTTGATGCTTCATAACTTGCAGTGTTAGCACCATTAGTGAGTTTTGTGTACTCTTCTCCTTTTGCGACCATTTTGTCCTTAACAATATCTAAGTAACTTCCTGCTTTTGAGACAATTTTAGGGTGCTCTTCTCTTTTGTACACTATACTCTTCATATTTTTGATGGATATTCAAATTGTGATATTAGAATTTTGTTCCTTTTTTCATCAATTTCTGTATCTTCTTCTGCTTAGCTCTGATTCTAAACTTGCACCTCACTTTTGAATTTGATTCCCCTTTTTGTGATTTCTCAGATTAGTAGGCTGCAATGATTTCTATTGAGTCAAGTTTCAGATAGCATTGCCAGAACTTTTGGTCTTTTAATCTTATTTATAGTATTTATTTATGCATGTCCACTCTGGTAATTAATTTAACCTGAAAGGCATGTAATTGTCCTTTTGTGTGTGATGTTTTTTGGTTCTGGGATTAGCACTTGAACGTTTGATTAGGTCTTGGCATACTTAAACCTTTTGTCTTTTTTAATTTTTCTATTTCTTACACGTAACTCTTATGGATCCTCAACCTTTTGACTTTTTTACCCTTTAGGTTTGGCCATATGAGGAAGGTGGAGAGTACGGATTTGTTTAATGGCTTTTTGGATTAATGCACACTCTTTTTTCACGTGACTCATCGTTTCTCTCTTCAGCTCAATCAGTAAGTTATACTTTATAATCAAGCATTATTAAATTATTAATTGATTTTCTTCTCTTCATGAAGGATTTCCAGAAACAGAAGAAATCAGAATTGAGTGTGTTGCATGAGCTCTTATCTCTAATTCCTTGTTAAAAATAAATCTTTGAGACTTCAGGTTTGTATATAATAATTATTTTCACCAATTTCTTTTAATCATGCGCATCTCTTAAACTACAATGGTGTTACCAGAGCTCAAACGATTTGGGTAAATTTAATCATTTTAATAAGAATATTTTGTAATCAATGCGTAAGTATTTGTAGATAGAGTTTAAGGCTACCGTAAAAACGTAAACAATCTAAGCTTATATGTATGAAAACTAGGAAATTATAGAGAAAAAAAAGTAGCTATATGAGCATACCTATAGAGACGCGTCTCTACAGATGCATCAACCACGACGTCATGTTGTCGCTATATGGTAAGTGTTGACTGTATATATCTACCTATGGAGACGAAAAGTTGTCTCTATAGCTATGCCTATGGAGACGACATGTTTTTATAGATGAATATATAGAGACGACTTGTCTTCTCTATAAATTCATCAAAGGAGACCAAAAACTTGTAGCGACGAACCATAATAGAACGACAGATTGTCCCCAAAGGCTACCAATTGCGACGATTTTTTTAGCGACAACAATAAAGATCTATTGCGACGGGGCTATGGTGACGAGAGCTATAGGGACGACATGTCGTCTCGGACACCTATAGGGACGACTTTTGGAACCTATAGAGACGACAATTGTCGTCCCTATAGGTCCTGTTTCTTGTAGTGCATAACATATGATCGATAACATGAATCTAATCTAATTTACATTAAAGTTTTAAGCACAATATACAATGATTGTATTAAAAGAATACTTAAACCAATAAAAATATAAAAAAAAATTAGTACATAACAAACTTACAAATTAAAAATTTTAACATAATAACATAGCTCGAAAAATGGTCCAAAGCCCTCAAACCAACACAAAACATTTAAACTTGTTTTCTTTGTGAATTTTGTATGTGATTTGTATCTGTGTGTCTACTCAAAGAGAATGACATTTTTATAGTAGACTATCCATTAATTGTTTATTAAACATATTATATAAGTTATAAAACTTTTCATGATGTGTGATTAATTACTTTGAAAGTGAAAAAGTGTGGGGGGTTTCAAATGCATGAGGTGCTTGGAAATTTGTATAGGGGGTTCAAACGCATGAGGTGATAAGAAAAATATATGTTTTATAAGTATAGTATGATTATTTATAAAAAATAATAATAATAATAAAATGGTGATGTGACAATCCATTAAAGTCTTAAGAATTTAATGGAGTGTAGAGTTTAATAGGTTTTTTTTTTTTGAAACGGAAAACTATCTTGCTCCTATTCTAATCCTAAAGACCACCTATGTCTCCTAGTGAGACTTGAACCTGTGACCTCTCATTTGAGAGAGTCACTCCTTATTTTTGTTAGTATTATTTCCTGGACGACTTATTCTTGCCCATTACACACAAATACTTCCAATTATTTTTGTTGTTTCTACATTTCTAGGTCCAATGATTGAGTGAGTTGACGATAAAACAAGACGAAGAATGATATAGGTTAATTATTGTTCTATATTATATGATTTAGTTTTCTAAGCATTTGTTGTTTTTTGACATGTTAACGAATATAGTTGATAGAGTAAAATGAAAATAGGCAATAATATAATAAATTGACTTATTCAAGCCTTCAACTTGTTTATAAAATAACAATCTAAAATTATAACCTTGTAGACTCCTACAGTTAAAAAGATACTGTGATAATTGACCAATAAAACCTTTATACACGTCTAATTCTTAAACATTTTTATAACTTCATCAATTAAGAACACAGTGCTATCTGCCATGGAAACTTCCTTAACGGTGGCTGTCATAGACGCTGGTCTAGCAGGACTAACTGCTGCTCGTGAGCTTCAACGAGAATCCCACCAAGTTGTGGTGTTTGAAAAGTCACACCGACTCGGTGGGACTTGGGCCTATGATCCACAAGTGGAGTCTGATCTACTGTGAGTTGACCCAACCAGAGATATCGTTCATGGATCTCTCTACTACTCTATGCGAACCAATCTTCCTCGTGAACTCATGAGCTTCACCGATTTCAAATTTAGTGAAAAAGTATACCATGATCCACAGAAGTTTCCTAGCCATGACGAAGTTCTAAAGTTCTTGGAAGATTTTGCATGTAGTTTTGAACTCACCAAGTTGATTCGGTTCAATACTATGGTGACAAAAGTGGAGGTCTTGGATTCAGGGATCACCCAGTTTGTGGTAGAGTTGAATACAGATGGGGTGCATTCGGTGGAGGTGTTCGATGCAGTTGTGGTTTGTAATGGTCACAACAGTGAACCTCAACTGACAACTGATATTCCACGTACTGTAAGAAAATCGGGATAATAATAGCCTTGGAAATTCTAAGAATTGTGGTTTCACTTTCAGATTAAAGTATTTGGGTGGTACTCCCAATCTTTCATCAGATAAGACTCAGAATTCAGAGCAAGAACAAAAAATATGGTTGTTATGAATTTCGTGATTGTTGTTGTACCAGGAAAAAAAATGATGACCAAAAAGATTAAGTAGTTCATTTGTCTGAAAATTGTCAAGGCAATTTTCTTTGTCCAAAAACTACTCCAACTGTCAAAACCAATAACAGTTACCAAAACGGATTTTTAATAAAGGTCAAAATGAAGTCAAAAACCGGGTTCATTTACAGAAAATTCAGATTTCTAAGGCATTTTTTATATAGCAATATAACTCATTTACAGAAAATTCAGCTCGACCCCAGCCAGGGGCTCTTCCCCTTGGACCCCGCCAGGGGCTGCCGCCCCTTGGACCCCGCTCTCAGGGGCGCTGTCCCCGGACCCCTGTTCATTTAGGGGTTTTGCCCTAAATGACAGTCTACTTTGAATCTTGAATAAATTTAAACAAATATGCACTCTGCACCTTCCTTACTTGTTTAATATTCATCAAGATTGAATTTTGGTCAACAAGTCAATCCATTACACTTAAATACACATTGATGATACAAAATCACCAACGGGTACTGATACATAATTCGCAATGATAAAAATATATATGTGAAACACTTTTCGATTTGGGATTATAAAAGAACTGGTTCGTTTTTAGGGTAAACTACATTTGGTTTTCCCTTGTTTAGTGTTAGGGATAAAGAACATTAAAAAAACTATGAAACTTTGATTTTGCTTCGTATCGGTTCAAATATAAAAAAGATAAATATAATAATAAATAAACTAGACATGGAGACCAAGAACGTAGTTTACTCTTCGATTAATTATGTTTCATAAGATTTTTGATATTTTCCTACTAATTAATGACTATTTTATAATGATGCGTAATTATAATAGTAGGTGAATACAATTCGTCCAAAACAATAGTAAAAGGGTTAATATAAGTGCATCTTTAGTTTATTTGTTGTTTTTTTAATTGTATTCCATAGATCATTATTTTTTGGTTTTCATTACATCATAAAGATATTTTAATCTGTTAAACTAGTATTGAATCTTAGGTGTTTACCATTGTGGCATTAATTAATTCAATATATGATAGAATTTGTTCATTTATGTCCACGTGACATTGATATTGCGTTTATTGTGATTAATACCCGATTGTAATGCACTCTAATAGTGTAATAAGAACACAGAAAAATTGTTACTAGTATATTTGATACAATTAAAAGATAAGTTATCTAAAAAACAGATTGTGGATTATTCATTGTCATTTTATGACAACCGAATAATAAATGTTACTAGCCTATTTGACCTTATACCCTCTATGCAGACCAAACATGGGGTCTCGCTCATAGGTGGATTTTTTGTCAACTTACTAGTATAGATAAAACCCTTGAATTCGTATAACCTAATACATTTTAGCTATGGAAGTATCAATAATAATTATTTGTGGTACTTGCTTGTGGATGTAGCCGATCGTCGTGATCATGCATGTAAATCATTTAAATATTATGTTTTTGTTTTCCTTTGTATTATAACTCGGTGTATTGAATCGTTTTGTATTGAATCGTTTTGTCAGTTTTTTGAAGTGCTTAAACCCTAACAGCAATATATTTTGGTTTTCATTATTTTTGGAATCACAGTGAATCACTGGCTCTACTTAGAGGGTGTTTGGCAAAAAAAAAAAAAAAACTTATTGTTTATTAGCTTATAAGCTAATAAGTAAGTGTGAGGTAACTTACGAAAAATGACTTATTAAAGGTTCTTTACCGGAATAAATTATTTTCATCCAAATATTTTTTTAATAAGGTTAGCCAAACACCCCCTTATATATATATCAATATATCTTCAAAGAAATATTACGATTGGTTAACACTTTTTAAAATTTTATGTTTAAATGGAGTGTATCAAAATGACACTCAATTTTGTAACACTGGACCAGGTATTGAGACATGGCCTAAAAAGCAAATGCATAGCCACAACTATCGAGTTCCGGAACCATTTCCAGATCAGGGTAGTGACAAAAATCCATATCAAATATCAAGAAGCTCGTGTCAATTAGTCATTGTGTATTTGACATTGCATTAAACATTTAATAGTTTACGTTTACCAAGTTATAGTAATTAACTAAGTACTAGACCCCTTTATTTAGGGTTTTTCTTTTCATACATGGCATATCATGTTCGAGTGACGGATGTGATCATATATATGCATATTTGCATCAACCATCGTTTCGTTAACTATACTTACAGTTCATATTTTTTTTCCCTAAAAATGTTATAATTGAATATCTGGTTTGGAAATATAAAAAGATTGTAGTTATTATTCCGAGTGGACCAAGTGCAACCGCCTTGTCAAGAGAAATCGCGACAGTTGCGAAAGAAGTACATATGTCATCAAGATCGCCACTTGTTAACAACAGACCAAAATTGGTGAAATCGGACAATCTATGGCAGCACTCCACGGTAATATATGTATATAATTCATTTAGTTTAGAGGTTATAGATTTTCTCGATGCAGCACTTTCATGATTCCTTTGAGTTCATCGATGAAGAAATCAAGTTGATCTAGCTATTTTGTAAAAGAACAAAAATTGAGAATTAACAATACGGATTAAGTGATCATCAAATATGATACATTCGGAAAGAATTAAACATGATTTTGTACAAATGAAGTTGTAAAGATAAGGTTCTCTCCACGGTATAGTTGCTATAAATATAACATATGAATAAAATGGAATGGGTTAAATTACACTTTCTTACCTTCATTTCAAAATAGTTTTGTATTGCCATTCCCTTACTAAACCAAACAAATATCATCAAAATTACTTGACAAAATTGCAAAAATGGTTCCTGTGGTATGCAGATTTTTGGGGTTTTAGTACAAACCCCGAGTTTTTGGATCCATGGTCCTTTTGGAGTGGTTTGTATGTGGTTTTGGTCCCTGGACTTAACTCCCGATAAATAGGATCTGTTAAGCCCCCTCATGTGCCTCACATGTGAGGGTAAATTCGTCATTTCATATGTAAGGGACCATTTTTGCATAAACCGTTTTTGACTTAATTCCTTTTAAATATCCCACTGCATGCGATCTTTCTTCCCCAACGTCTCTTTTTTCTACCCTTCTTCTTCTTGAGCTCTGTTACAACAACAATGGTTCTATGTTTTTGTGGAAAAGTTGCTTTGGTGAAAACGTCCTGGACCCCTCTGAATCCAGGAAGGAGATTTTTTGCATGCCCTATGAATATTTTTGTTTGTGGGTTTATCGGGTGGCTTGATCCCCTAATGTGTGCTAGGTCTAAAGCCATCATACCTGGACTACTAAGACATTTGAATTCAGTGCAGGAACGGTGCAATGAGTTGCTTAGAAGTGTGAACATGCTACCAGATCAATGCAGTGGACTGAGATGCAGGAACAACATGTTGGTGGCAAATTGCAAAGCATTGAAGGATGAAAATTTGAAGCTGAAAATGTACCTGTTTGAAAGTTCGGTTTTTTTTGTGATTGTCTTGTTTTGTAGCTGGTTTGTGTAGGGGTTTACTGTGAAGGGTGTTTTGGTCGTATTAGTATGGATAAAATGGTCATTTTGATGTAATTTTATGTGATCATTTTTGTAGTGACTTATGATGGTATGAATGTATTACCAAAATTGTATGAATGTATCAAACTTAACACATCAATAGAAATGGTATGAAGATTCATTAGAACCAATTGTACATAACCAAAATGCACATTTCATTAAGATTCATAACATAACAACCAAAATGCACATTTCATTAAGATTCATAACATAACAACCAAAATGCACATTTCATTAAGATTAATAACATAACAACCAAGTATTCATAACAACCAACCAAAAGATTCAACAAAATAGTATAAACATAACAACCAAGTGTTCAAAAGCAACCAAAATCACATAAAACCTCATGCATGACACATTACTTCTTGGACTGATTCCCACCTTGCCCTTTACAGGTCCTAGAGTTGTGTCCCTTGTTCTTGCATTTGCTACAAGTAACACTGATATGCTTCCTTGATAGCTTCTACACTCCATCATTTGTTGGTTTTTGGGAACCTCCTTCTTGTGTAGCATTCACTCCATCACCTTGACTTGCCCTCTGCTTTTTGCTTAACCTTTCACCCTCACTTTGTCTTCTTTTTTTCTTAGGCCTTCCCACCTGAGTGCGATGTGGAGGAGGGATTAGCTTTGTGGGACATTCACTCTTGGGCCACATGGATCTCCCCTTAATTGGCTCCACCTTAAATGAATAAGATTTTTTTCCATGTATCTAGAAAATACACCTTGTGAACCCATTTGTAAATGTCAAGCTCAACCTCTAGGTCTTTACTCATTTCATTCAGAGTTGCAATTGCATGTCTGCATGGAATTCCAATTAATTCCCATTTTCTGCAAGTGCATGTATGATTCTTAACATCCACCACATGTTGATCCGGCAAAGCTCCTGTGACTTGATACTTGTCTCCCCCATTCCACCTAGCAATGTATTGTGAAGCAACTATTTTTCTTGCAGCTAAGATGTCTGTTGCTGTGGGTGTTAGTGGACCTTTAGCCTTTTTCATTTCCTTCAATACATTGCATATCCTCTTCATTAGATACTCCCATATGTATTCTAGACATCTAATGATAGCTTTATCCCTTCCTTTGTCTATCTTCCCATTAAACACTTCACACATATTTGATATCAAGACATCAGAAACTGCTCTTCCTATTGTACATTACCATTAAAAATCAGTTAATACAATTGACATACAAGTAAAACAGTTCACTAAGTGAAAGACATAAGGACCAAATTGGAATATACTGAATTACCTGAAAAATGACTCCTTTCCCAATGTGCAAGAGTAATTTGGTTCAACCATTCACATGCCTCCTTATCATATTGACTAAACTCCTTCATCAAATGTTCAAACTCAGGAATGGTGAAGCTGATGTACACCTCCGTAAGTGGTCCCTATACTCTGTTTGTCTCCACCTCTTCCTCATATTGTCATGAATATGTCTGATACAATATCTATGCTCAGAATTGGGAAACAACTGATCAACTGCACTTTGTAAACTGTACATGAATCAATTGACAATAATTAGAGTTAACTAAAAACCACACATCTTAAATGACCAAATGTATAAATTTGCTTTACCTTTAGCCTGTCACTTATGAAAGTGAAATTTGAGTTTCTTCCAAGGTCCAAGTCATCCCCAAGGTTTTCTAAAAACCACTTCCAGCTTTCTGTGTTTTTAGACTCAACAATCCCATATGCTAATGGGTAAATTCCATTATTAGAATCAAGACCAACTACTGAAAAGACCTGCCCAGGGAATGGTCCTTTCATGAAGGTGTTGGGTTTTGAGCATTCTAACACTCCTATGGTGTACATGCAACCCTATAAACCTTGGATCTATGTTTTCTCTATTATACATGCAAATATTAACTATTCCAAGGTTTCATCCTAACTAGCATATTATGAAGCACCTAAACTACAAAGTTCTAGTTAGATGACATACCTTTTGATGTAGCTTGATGTCTTCAAGCTTTAAGAGCTTAGCCCCAATAGTGTGGAAGCCTCAAATGGAATCACAAATCACCAAAACACCTTGGAAGAACTTGAGAGAATATGTATGCACACTAAAATCGGCCCACTCTTATTTTCACACACTTGTGCCAATTTTGTGAGCTAAGGACCCCTTTATATATTATGGAGGATTAGGGTTACATCCATGTAAACCCTAATACCCATGACCTTTCATTTACATAGGATCCATGGGTTAAAAGCTCCATGGACCATCCATGAAAGCTTAGCCCAACCTAAATGAACTTGGCCCATTCCATATATATAAGAGTTCATATTTAATTAGTTCTTTTTGATCACTTAATTAATTCTAAATTAATTCTTGATCAATACTAATTAAATAATATGATTTCATATTAATATATTAGAACTTATAATATATTAATATAAATCATAAATATACTATTCTCAAAAGACTATCCAAATAAATTGTGCCGGTGAAGTGCAACCCAAATGGACCATGTCGGGTCGGGTCAAATACATACCAAATATAGTTATGGACTTAGACATTAATCCAACAGTCTCCCACTTGGATAAGTCTAAAACTATTATTGAGTATGACTTCAAAACCTAACTGGCAATCGTAGCTCTTAAAGCCGCTGTCGAACTCTGACCTTGTCAATGACTTGTCCATTAGATAAGGGATCATATATTCCTCCATTCTAGATATCATATGGACTGAGACATGAATTATAATCATTCTCTCTGTCCATTTGTTGTTTCCCGATTTTCGATTTATGATGACTGACTGATTGAACAAATCAAATCAGTTCTGGCTTGGCCAAGCACTCACATGTGTCATCGCTAAATCATCGAGGGGCCCACAGATATCGCTTTTATCCCGAAGGTAAAAGGAATGGATAAACTTCGACTCATATGGGTTGTTCTACTACTTGTTGAATCATACACAAAGGCACGTTTTATAACATCGAGTTACCAAATGCGTTTTCGTGCAATCAATGTATAACCAACTCATAGTAACAACTCATATCTCTAGGTTTGAAGAATATAAGATATTATCGTCTCATGATCACTCGTGATAAAATCCATGAAGTGATTCAAATGAGCGCGGGTTGAATCCAATACTCAGAACTTATGAGCACTCATGAGTGTTGTAGCACCACTTTGTCCACCAACTTGGACCTCTACAAACCAACCCATGACAGTCTTGATTCATATCTACTTCCAACATATGACCGACTGTGGATGGTTTGAATAACTTAATCATTCAGGAAGAACGACTTAGTTATTCTGGAAGTCAAAACATGCAAAGTGAAACACAAGAATAAATGAATCAAATATGGTATCAAACCCTATGAATATAAATAAACACTTTTATTTATCACCATACTCATTACTCATTATTCATTGTTTCGGTTTTATCAACTTTATACTTGAATTAAAAACACTAGTTGTCCCATGCTCCAAGCATGTACACTATGTTTTTCTTAAACAATAGCTTTGCCATACACCAAGTATGCACTCTATGTTTGTCTATGATCCTTACTTTGTGAAATAAACCAATTGAACATAATTTCAATGATTCTAATTTCACACTCCCAAATCCTTATCGAAAAATGTGAGAATTTCAAATTCCTGTCATTTATCGAAATCTGTTTAGATTTTAAACTTATATGCACTGGCCCTCCTGTAATGAATATGTACAAAGTCACAAAGACTTGTCAACAGTCATTATAAGGTATTCCAATGGAGATCAACTCCATGGAAACTAAGTCTCATATTCAAAGTACATTGCTTTGGACATGCTTCTTGCATTAAGTTTTCTAATCTTACACAGATAACTTCCACCTATGGAGACAACTCTATATTCTCATTTTGACTATCACTTCTGAATAAGAGATGCCTCTTTTCAGAATATGTCAATATGGTCCTTCCAAAATTAGCACTATACTTCCAACTGTCCCTGAGCAACCAATCTTTGGTAAACCTCAGATTGTCCTCGACAATTGCTTAATCATTTTAGTCATATCCAATTCTAGACCTTTTCCCTTCTTAATGCCTCTGGGCATTTGGAAAAATTTAGAAATGACAAATATTATAGCACATGCAATCGATCCTGTACCCAAAGCAAATGGTACACGATTCATGATGTCTCACATAAAGACATGATTCTAGACCAGTCTTTTGCTACAATATTTTTATTTGCCATGTTTTCAAAATTTGACTATGAAGAGGGATGTCGTAATCATAATCGAATTTTGAGAACGCAATATATAGAATTTCCTTAAGTTGAACCAATCCAACATGAAATTCATATATATATTCTTGACTAAAGATGATTAAGGTCTCAATCTAAGCCTTTAGAACTGAAATGAAGTATATCCTCTCCCTTAATTATAGCAAAACAACTTTTTCAATCCCTGCAGCCTCACGAATTGAAACTTTTGTTTTCATAATTAACATTGCTAACTTGCAACACTAACAATAATTATCGTGCTCCCACTAACATGATTATTATTAGCATAACACTTATGCTCCCACTAGCTTTGACATGTACTCAGAAATCAGCTGGACTTCTAGAAATCAATACTTTATTGACTTTCTTACCAAAGTTCAGATTTCTGATACGAGATGCTTTGATAAAACTTTATCAAAATCATACACCTTTCCTTAGATAGCATGCATGTGTGTCTAAACAATTTCAGAACTATGAAAATGGATGCCATAATCATAGTCTCAATTGTTTAGACCTTTTGCCATTTCTCATAAGTCAATGTTAGTGTGCCGGTTAACCACGCACGCTCCACTAACGACTTTGAGAACTGCAAATATCACAATTGCTATCTACTTAAAATCTACTTAGTGAAAGAATTTCCTCACCATCATTTTCATGAATCGGAGAGAAACCTTATGACACTTAGATTTTATGGTGTATGTGTTCTTATCCATGTGAATTTGTCAAACCATAATCACAAGACTA